TAATAGAAAACAGAAGTAAATCCTTTTTAAACAAGGATTGAACACCGCACTCACTCCATCATTCACCATTTCTACAGAAATAAATTGTTTTGATTGGATCAGCGGAGGGATTTTTTTTCTCCGATGCTCGTAGCACCATAGAAAAATTCGTAACACGTCTTGAATTTATCCAACCTCCACGGTTTCTCTACTGCTGGGAAGGTGGATTACTCATCTTTGGTCTTGTATGCTTTTGGCCTACGTTATTAGAAGTATCATTTCGTTTTTGTAACTTTTTTACATCTAATTTTACAGTTAATACGGTCCTGAAAATATATCTATTACTCGCGAAATATACTGCCCATTGAAAAACTTACCACATGGTTTTTCCACTTATTAATACACATACCTGCGCTAGGTCTTATTTTTTAGAAAATTTTATGCTAAACAAGATAGTTTTTTTTAGATGTTTTCCTTTCTTCAGTCATTCATCAATAAAGTCAAAAATTCTGGAATATGCCAATTTTTACACTTTTTAGAAAACTTCAAATTGAGCTATGAAGCCAGGGAATCGGCCTAGAGCGATGCCCCTCGGCAATCGATAGGAAATTTTAATAAGCTTTCCATTGGTCGCCTTTCACTTTGCGCGATTTCTCAACCATTTTCGAATTACTCGCGATTTTCGGGCAAAATGTGTGGTTTTTTACGCGCTCGGTGGGGAAAAAAACGATCTCTCTCTCGATTTTACCATAAATAAACCTATTACTTCAATACGATATTCGAAGCCAAACTGCCACACAACACTTGTAAAATGGGGAAAAAGTTGAATTTCCGTGTTGAGGTAAACAAGTGGTTATCGACAGCAGATGCATACAGCATCCCGAAAGGTCAAAATATTAAAAATTGAGAATTGTCGCTTCCCTGGCCATTTTTTGAAAAAAACCTTCAGAACAAAAGTTCCAGAGCGTAAAACTTGCGAAAACTTGACGGATCAAAATTTCTGCATTTTTGAAAATTAAGAAAGAGAGTGATCGGTTTTTTTCCCATGAGGACGTAAAAAACACGTTTTTTGCCCGAATATAGCAAATAACTCGAAAAATGTTGAGAAATCGGGCATAGTGGAAGGTAACCAATTGAAAGCTTATTAAAATTTCTTATCGATTGCTAAAGGGTGTCGCTCAAGGACGATTTCCTGGCTCCAAAGCTCAATTTGAAGTTTAGGCAAACAGAGCCAAAATTGGCAATTTTTTGAATTGACTGAGAATGGGTGAAGCTAGGAAAACATTTAACAAAGCTATCTTGTTCACTGTAAAATTTTGTAAAAAAATGAGGCCTAGCTCAGGTCTTAACATAAAAGGCTGAAAAAATATGTATTTCCAAATTTGGCCATTTTTTTCGTGCAAAAACCAAGAGATCGTTTGCAGGGCAGTGGACAAGGGATATAATATTTGTTCGTTGAAAATCCAACAGGTTTTAAATTTGTTATTATGTTCAATGTTACAACATTAAATAAAAACAATAAAATAATGTAATTTGCAATATTTTGTAACTACAAAATTGAAGCCACAAAAATTAGGTTTATCTTAATTTTTGCCTTAAATAAAAGGAAGTGTAAAAAATTAAAAAGTTCAAAATGATTTGTCAGGATTAATTGAATAAAAAGAAGAAATGAGAGGGTGCACTATGGCGCGATTTTTCTCTACAGGGGGCGAAAAATAGTAGAACTGTGTCGTATTTAGCTCTGATTCTGTGGTCATTAGCCCTGTTGTCGTTTCAGATGGTTAACCCAGTTAGGTCCCTCCTATTTTTCGGACGGCAGCTTTTCACTCTTCTCGCCGTTTTCCTAATCAACTTATCCTCCTAATAGCCAGTCGTGTCTCGCTCGAGTAAATTACCCTGGATCTCTCCAATTAGAACGGCGAGAAAAATTAATATTGATTTTCTATTCTCTCGCACGTATAAAATGAGAGAATAAATCGGATGATCGTCGAAGAACTCAAGAGTTTAAGAGATATCCACCTTAACCAATAAATCGTTTAATCTGATAAAAGAGGTCTTGAGAAATTCCCTATATATTCTAAAATAAATAGTAGTAGTAGCAAACATATAATACTACACATAATATTATAATAATAGTAATTAATAGTAATTAATAAGTAAGTAATAATAGTAATTATAATAATACTACATATAATAATAGTATAGCTGACATATAATACTATTTCCTCTATTTCACTGATAGTTTATTAACGTCTTTTTTTTCCAGAGTGTAATAAAATTTCGAATGAAAATAAAGTGAAAAACTGTGAAATTGAATGCATATAGAATGAAAGAAAGAAAAGAGAGTGTGGGAGAGAGAAAAAGAGAGGGTAAGCGTAATAGAGGGAGAGAGAGAGAGAGAGAGAGAGAGAGAGAGAGAGAGAGCGAGAAAGAGCAAGTAAAAGAGAGTGATAGAGAGAGGGCGAGAGAGTTAAAGATCGAGTAAGAGTGAAAGAGAAAGGGAGAGAGAAAAAGAGTGAGCAAGAAACGAAAGGAGAGAGAGAATAAGAGAAAGAGTGAGAGAAAGCGGGCGAGTAAGAGAGAGTGAGAGAGAGGAGGATAGAGAAAAAGAGTGAGTAAGAAAAAGAGAGAGAGTAAGAGTAATAGTGACAAAATTAAAGATTGAGTAAGAGTGAGAGAAAAGGGAGAGAGAAAAAGAGTGAGCAAGAAAGAAAAAGAGAGAGAGAGATAGTAAGAGTAAGAGTGAGCGAGATAAATATCGAGTAAGAGTGAGAGAGAAGGGAGAGAGAAAAAGAGTGAGCAAGAAAGAAAAAGAGAGAGAGTAAGATTAAGCGGGAGAGAGATAAAAATCGAGTAAGAGTGAGAGAGAGAGGGAGCGACAGAAATAAAAGGGAGATAGTAAGTGTGTAAAATAAATCTTATCAAGCTAATAAATATCAATAAATACTGATAAGTATAATTGCCACTTAATAATTACATTATTATACAAGCTCCTCCTATGGCAAAATGCAAATAAATAATAATTACGTAACTAATACTTTTGCCACTTAAGTACTCAACAAAAACATTCCAATCAAGGTTATAGATGTGATGTGTATCATTTTTTCCTATGAGTTTTTCAAAATGGGAAACAGAAAAAGTGAATTTTCTATTACTGGCATATGTCTTTGCACTTCTGCATCTATTTATTCCTAGCAACCGAGAAATTAAACGTTTTTCTCCTAGCCTCACTACTAATATCATCCATTTAGGTTATAGTGATCAATTGACCAATTTATTTATTTCAATTAATTATTCTTTCTATGTAAGGTCTTGGTGGAGATAAAAAAGTCAGTGTCACGGGCGGGAAACGAACCCACGACCTTCGGCCACTTCATAAGTCGCTGAGAATCCAATCCTGATTACACGGTATTTGAAAATGGCAAAAAGTGGGCAAATTCGAAAGGTAGTTTGAGATGGAGTGTTGGTGTCCGAGAGGATCGAAGTCACTGTAGCTCAAGTGGTAGAGCAGCGGCGTATTTAGCCGAAGGACGTGGGTTCGAATCCCGCTCGTGTCACTGACTTTTTTTATCGCAACCAAGACCTTACATAGAAATAATAATGAATTGAAACTAGTATCATTAATTTACATTAATGAATTTGTAAAGCGTATTAGCACTCTCTCTNGTGCCACTGACTTTTTTTATCTCAACTAAAAACCTTAATTAATTGTAATATATTAATTGGTCAAGCGGACCATGAAATTAGTGAAAGTGAATATCTAATATGACTAAATACAATCATTAATATCACGCGTTCAATTGTGTTCATTTAATTTAATGAAATCACCAAAAACATTGTATATCCAAGAGCACACTGAATACAACAGTAATTACAATTTAATACAATGTAATCCCAAAGAAAAATGAAAATATCTAAAATGGCAAAAAGGAGGGAAAATTCAAAAGGTTGGGTTCAGATGTTAGTGTCCGAGTGGATCGAGGTCACGATAGCTCAAGTGGTAGAGCAGCCTTTGCACGACATTTGAAAAATGGCAAAAAGGAGGGAAAATTCAAAAGGTGGGGTTGCGATGGGAAGTTAGTGTGTATTTATGTATTTGTTACAATATTTCCGTCTTATTCTAAGGTAGTTTTACTAGTCTTCGTGGAAAAACGAAAACTTGTTGTCAATTGTTTTCTTTTTCATATTCAAATTCAAATTTCAATTTTTTACGAAAACAAAAACATCAGAACTCATCTGTCAAGAAATCATTTAATATAAAAAAAGTTGTATTAAAAGTGAGGTGCGAGGGCGTTAAGTAAAAGGTTTCTGAATTAAATGAAAAGAGCTTGCATTTTCAATTTACATAAATTTTAATTTTATTATTTTATTTTAACTATTTTAACAAAAAAGTTACTGAATGCCCCGCCTTCTTTATAACGAACTGGTAAATTGGGTTGTTTTCTAAGCTTTTCTTTAGTTTTTTTTTTATATCAAATTGCCCAATTTGGCTGGTTTTTAAATAATTTCCACCCGGAAATGACACTACAAACCGTGAATAACACACTAGACAGATGTGGACTTTTCAAATTGATAAATTATATTAGATAAGTAATGTACAAACTATTGCGCTTTGAATGTAGAGTACATGATATTTATGAAATATATTCATTAATTTCGTGGTCCGCTTGACCAATTAATATATTACAATTAATTAAGGTTTTTAGTTGAGATAAAAAAGTCAAAGGCACGAGCGGGATGAAAATTGAAAAATGGCAAAAAGGAGGGAAAATTCAAAAGTCGGGGTTGATGTGGGAAGTTAGTGTCCTAGTGGATCGAGGTCACGATAGGTCAAGTGGTAGCGCAGCGGCGTATCTAGCCGAAGATCGTGGGTTCGAATCCCGCTCGTGCCATTCACTTTTTTATCTCAACTAAAAACCTTAATTAATTGTAATTACATTTAATACAATAGTAAAGCAGTAAAAAAATTACATATTACATTTTTATGTCTGTCCTCTACTAACAAATACAATTTGATGCAGGCAATGATAAACTAGAAGCAAAAGCGTCTCGATTTAAAGTGAGCGATCTTCAAGGAAGGACGCTGTTTTCTGCAGACAAAAACGAAGTAGTCGTCGGAGCAGATTTGCTCAGGCTTCAAGGTGAGAAAACGTCAATTAATCTATTAATTTATTTAATAAAAAATTAAGGACTTATGTCTGGCTGTAAGGCACATATTTTTGTTAAATAGGAATTTTCTGCATACCACATTTAAGAGCATGTATTTCCTATTCTTAGTCGGTTTTAGTTTTTGACATACCCAGAAAAACTAAAATGAACAAAGCCCTGAAACATTCATTAAATTATTTTTCCTTACGAATTTAAAATTTGGCAGATGTTCTAAATTAAATAACATGTTTTTGGTGAAGATAATGTAAATAAACAAAATCCTTGGTTTGGTAAATTTTTATCTGAAGATTATGTAATAGTACCAAAGAACTTGGTAGTCTGAGAACAAAAGCTAAAGTTATAGAATTTGGTCTTTACCTTTTTGATCTTCACTGGTATCAGAAGAACAAGCTATTGTGCATTAGGTCGAAAAGAAACAATGAAAACATGGGTGTACCATGAATGTTAGTTGCTTAGGTGCTCACTTACTGTAGGATGGATTATTATGATTATTATTGTCGTCCTGTGAAATAATAAATCAAGCAGTTACTGCCAAGAATTGTATGCGCCAAAAAGTGATTACAATTGGATGGTTCCTGATTACTGGTTTATAATAACCTCAAAGGGGAGTCGGTGGCCGCACCACTGGTTTAGGCGTTGTCACGACGCTCATCTGTATCGCTGTAAGATTAAGGTTATTCCAGCGGCCCTGCATTCTAACTTACGACGTTCTACAAATGGGCTTTCGGCACCCTGGACGTTGATGTACCATTGCTGTTACGAACCCTCGTAAAAAAATATCTTTGCAATTAAAAAAAAAATACCGGTAGGCTTACAGAACAACAACCTTGGGTTTGGCAATCTGAGGTCTGATCTAGAGCCTATCCGTCCAGCCACCGATGTTGGGCGCCAGAGGCTATCAACAACTAGGTCATTTCAGCCACCATCATAATCAGTCTCCTATACTTCTCTCACTCACTATGAAAAACATTCTTTCCTATTTACTATTCACTCAGTTAGGATGTTGGATTACTCCACTAATATCAATTCCATCACTCTTTACACCTGTTGTATAACTTACCTAATTGTCGGTTGATGGGTACTTAATATTCCACTATAGGTCCTCTCACACAAAACATTCACGCCAATAAATATATTCTTTCTCAACACTCACTACGAGACACATTACTACTATATACAATAAAACTTCCCAGATTCATTCAAGAATCGAAACAGGGGACTCAAATAGTCGTTGCCCTGATCAAGCACAATTCTCATATCCGGTATCATTCCTATGCGCTCTTTATATAAAGCCAAACGAACGGCAACCTTCAGTTTAATGATTATTTGGAGATTGGGAGATGCGGTCTGGCATGACGTACGTTTATGATCCCTGAAGATGATCTCAATAAAGATCGAAAAGTTGACATGAAAATGTTTATCTAAAACCCACATCACACCAGACCGCATCTCAAGATTTCCAAATAACCTACCACACACTACAGTTTAGTGCGGCACAACCAAACATTAGAAAGTAAATGACCGTGTGTCATCCTCGCATGGCCTATTCCTAATCTGGTGAATCTCGCTCCAACGAGTCAGATCTTTCGAGGGCCATCTGTCGACAGTCCTATGGCTACGTGAGAGCTTCTCTGCGGATCGAGCCCTCCGGCTGCCACTTTCTTGGATGGTGTATGCCTGCATTAATCCGCTATTCTGTTTTAGCAGGTGAAACGATAAAAAAAGTGCAAATTTGCAATAAAAAAATGCCCGCTATACCGAAAGTGCTTCATGTTTTAAGTTTGACCATCCAAAAGCCTATCATTTTCTACGGTCTGTTCTTCAACTGTCTTTTTTTCGGAGATTAGGTAATTTTTAACAAAATTTGGAAAAGAAAGTTCAAACTAGCTTTGTAGAATTGTTCTCCATGTAGACATATAATTTCAATAAATTTGAGAAATAAATGCTCGTATAGTCCATAATGGAGCTTGTTTTGAGAAAAACAGGCTATTTTACTATTAGTTTTGGCTAGGAAGTTAAAATCATAAATCCACTGATATTTCGTATGTATTACTCAATAATTGTAAGGGTATTATTTTAATATTTATTAACAAAAATGCGATGTGCCGAATAAAAAACCTCTGAAGATCCCAAGTATCTAATTGTGCAATTATAATTGCAGTGTAAATATGATGTTTACTTGTTAAATTACTCATTAACTACCAAGGTCGGTTTTAATTAGGTTTTTGTTAAAGTATCTATTTTGCAGCTGTAATAATTTTTTGTCACATTCTGATCCGATTAATTTTCTTTTTATTTATTGCATGTTTTTTGCGGTGCTCATCTCCAGGCAGAAAAAATCAATTGAATGTTTGTAGAATAATACTATTGTGTGTTTCAGGGGCAGGAGGGGTTGTGATTGACGGTAGCCTCCAGACGCCTTTGGTGAGGGCCAACCCAGGATCGGACCTGAGGTGGGTGTATTTTTGTATCGTCTATTGCTACCTGGAGCATGTCCTTCCCCGCCCCGGCCAAGTTTCTCCCCTGTCCGACGAAATAAAGTCCAGAACTCCGTGAAACTCTTTAGGTGAGACCGCCGAACGGAACGCATGTTAAGGAGTGTAACTGGAAAAGTTAGGCAGTGGTGCAAGGGAGGTCTTGATATACTGATTTCCATCAAGGCTCCTGATTATTAGGGGGGCCAAGTTGTGAGAGCAAAGTTTTCCTTTCTAAAGGGCCCGTCAGTGTGTCTCCAGAAAGCATTCCTTTTCGATTATTTAACCTGATTTGTGTTACATTACTTTCTCGCGGATTTGCATAAACCGACCTCTAGCCTCACACAATCGCATGTAAATTATAATAAGTAAGTGTTTATTGTAAAATAATTTATATTATCTTTGTTAGAGAGGTATAAGGAAATATGTAAAATGATTCAAGTTTTTCTATTCTGATTTACAATAACATTAAATTGTACAGATTTTTTAGTAAAGATTTCTCTCGGTGAAACTAAACTTATAAACGTAGTCATTTTGGCGAATGTTCATTCTAAATAAAACTTTGATACTAGTAATAGAATTTCTGTGGTTGCCTTAAACAGTGGGTTAATCCAAAATCGATACTTTTAGGAACCGATTTTAAAGTTTTGAATTTTTCCGTATGAATTTGTACATCTCTATAATAAGTTTTTACATTCCAACAATGACATTTTCATACAACATACATTTTAATTTTGTAGCAATTGTTATATTTTGTGTATATACTGATTGTAAAATACCAACAAGAATAAGGGGCGTCGTTGGCCGCAACGGTTTAGGGGTCGACCCTGCGCGCATGATTAAGGTAAAGGTCCCGGGTTCGAATCCAGCGCCCCGCATTCCAACCCGACATACTTACAAATAAACTTTTTTTTTTCAAAAACACCGGCATCCTGAAAAAAATACATAAAAAATATTACTATGACGTTAAAATTCATTAACTCGTGTCCTTTTGTCCATCTAACCTCCACATGTCTGTTGATTAGGGATATAAACCGCCCTGCAAACTTGTATAAATTATCCAAAGATTATTTTTCGGATCGAATAGCAACAATATCTACGTCTACTAGTAGTAGACGTAGTAACGAAATAAAGGACTCACAAATGTGGCCAGTAAAGCATTATTAATAGTTCGACACGTTGGTGAAAATTCATTCGCTTATTGTAAGGATAAGGACGCATTCCACAAAATTAAAATAAAACTCTTCTTTTAAATTGCGGACTTTCATATCATGAAAAAAACCAAATTTGTGTTTTTTGATATGTCAATAATTCCTACCGCACACCGACAATAATGATATTGGAACTATATTTAAACATATAACACATTGAAACTGACCTGTTATCAAAAGTTGACCCGGTTTGTGTCCCATCACGTTTATAATATACTTAACTGACTGTCCTAAGGCTAAGTGAAAAACAAGAGCGGGCCGAAAGGAAAATCAGGAAAACATCAAGTGTTTTCGAGAGGAAGATGCGGCAGATGTCTAAATCGATGCTATCATCCCCTTTGTTAAGGGATAAATTGTAGGAGGAAGCAAGCTGTTGCACCCCTTTCAACTGGGAGACGAGACGACGGAGAAGAACCGCCCCTTTTATTCATGACTTTTTTTCCTCCAGTGATAAATTCAGAGGTGCTGATGACTGACTCCTAATTAACTTTTAGCCGTACTACCAAACACCTGATTAATAAATTTTGTAATATAAAAAAAAAATCGTATTTAAGAACGCCGCCAAACACGAATATTTTCATTAATAAAATAAATATTATAGTTTTAAAACTAACAGGTAATTTATTGGTACAATTTCTTGGCAATGCGTGCAAGACTTTATTGGCACAGATAACAAAGACACAACGAAAAAGGCGCGCTCTCTGCACCTTAATAAATTTGAAATTGAATAAACGGGCCACAGCTGTAGCGAAATAGCTGCCAGGTTTATTAGGGCACTTACTACCTGGGGAGACTTATTTAATAAATAACGAATTTTTTAATCAAAAATGCAAATTTTAATTCAGGTTACTCTAGTTTTGTTTATAGTTTGTTATAATACTTAAATCTACTTAAAATACACTTTCAGTTCAGGATTTTTGAATTTTATCGAAAAAACAAACTAAAGTGTATAGCATTCAAATCGAGGAAACAGTTTTGATTTTGATTCATTAAATAAATTTAGTTTATTCGCTTAATGACTTTACTGGAAATGTTTGGCTCGCTGTTGTGCTCGACCTTGTTGTATGGCTTTCTTCAGCCCGAAAAACCCGCTTGCAGAAGCTCGATAAGCCCCGCTATCAAAGCCTTCGAAGTTCTGCGGGCTGAAAGCGTTACCACCCGAACTTCGAAGAGGGCTAGTTACTCTCAGCTATGAGACATCCGTTTTCGGGTGCGGTTGTTAGATTGCGAGTACGAACGACTTCAGACCCGGACGCGAACCTATACAGGATTACCCTCCGGTGAAGAACACTTTCAATTCACTAATCTGGTGGAACAAAGCTCAACAAAAAGTAGCTACCCAAACATTAGGTTGCATACGAAGACTAGCAAACCTATGGATCACAGGGGCAATGAGAACACCCCCTACAAATGCATTAGAAACTCTGCTAAACCTACCTCCCCTGGAAATATTTATACAATGAGAGGCTAGGAAAAGCTCACTTAGGCTCCAGAAGCAATTACATTGGATAGGAACTAAACAATTCGGGCATACAACCATAATCAACAAAATCAGACACCCATTCTTTGAAATGGGGACTGCCTATGTGATCTCGAAAACATTCTTTACAACTTCCTACAAAGTTTCAACGGTCTGTAAAGGAGAGGAAGAACACAGGAGAGCATCAGATACAATGATATGGTATACAGATCACTCCAAACGAAGGAACCGGATCAGGCGTTTTTTGTACAAGCCCAAAACATGAGCAATCAAACTCATTAGGGAAGTACACTTCGGTCTTTCATTCAAGCAGAAATACATGATATCAATGCTTGTGCCCTCGAAAATCTTAAAAGAGGTTACACTGGCAAAAAAACCCTCATAAGATCTGATAGCCAAGCAGCCATTAAAGCATTAGCATGTAAAAGAATCACATCAAAATGAGTCAGTGAATGCATACAAAATCTCCAAAACCTGGGGAAACACAACAACCTGATGATATCTTGGGTGCCAGGGCACAAAGGAATTTCGGGCAACTAAAAAGCAGACACCCTGGACAAAGGAGGGTCTGCAAGACCATAGATAGGCTCCGAACCTATACTTGGGATAACAAAAACAAATATAGAATCTTCCATCACAGAATGGATCCAAACAAAACAAAAGGAGAAGTGGATAAACTCTAGCGGCGCTAGACATAGTAAACTTATGTTGAAACAACCCTCACCAAGACTGGCAAAAGCATTGCTGCAATTGGAGAGGTAGGAAACTCAGAGAGTGGTAGGAGTACTAACCGGTTACTGGCATCTGAGAAAAAATGTAACAACATGGGTATATACTACGATGATCCAATTTGCAGATTATGTAATGAGGAGAAGGAAACAGTCACCCATATCATCTTCGAATGCGGAGCGAGGTTGTCTTGGCCCCTCGGGGCTGAGCTGCGTCTACAGAAACGCTGCGGCAGTAACACATTTCCGTTGTATTGGGAGGTGCGTCAGCTCTCATCTTGAGAATCAAAACGTCCGATAAGGTCGAATAAGCTAGGTGCGGACGTTAAAGATCCTCATTGTCCTTTTTAGGACGACCGAGTATACGGGAAAGCCTGCACGATTATTGCACGTTTCGGGTAATGACACTTTTTTCAATGTTCTTGCTCATTCCATTAAAAAAGCCCTCCGTATTCGCGTTTTTTCTACGAGAAGTTTATCAAAAGACAGCTAACATATTAACAAACTCGGCTAACAAATAAGCTTTTTAGAAATCCTGCTGGGTTTAAGACCTGTTCTCAAGGGCCCTATTGATTTCAGAACATTGGGTGATTTTCCTTTTCTATTATAGTTAGTTTTACTATTTTTTAATTTTTTTTTTTTGGCATGTACCATTTATTTATTGCATCTCTAGATGCAGAAATACAATATAATAGTTTCTACTCACAGTAAGTTGAAGGAGTTCTACAACCACGTCTCACGACATGAATTGGATTTCATGTAACGTGTTAATGTGTTTTTTTTTTTTAATTGAAGGAATTCATGTCGAGAGACTTGGTTGTAGAACTCCTTCAACCTGATGATGAGCTAAGGACTCGAAATCCGGATCCTTGCAAAACAACTTACTGTGAGTAGGAATTATATTTTAAAAAGGATTGAACCCCGCACTCACTACACAATATAATATGTTCAACGAACGACAACTTGTGATTATTTAAATTTGCACGTTGAATGTATAAATGTCTTTCAGCTTGGAATCTCCGACAAGGTCGCTGCAGGTGATGGCTCCTTCCGGAGTGTCGCTGGAGTCCAGGGCGGGCGATATAAGTGCGACCTGCCTCACGGACCTGAAATTGGAATCGATGGACGGGGCGGTAAGTGTCCGATTAAAAAAAAATACTATTAGATTTTTGGAATTGATATTTTTACAGATTCGCCTGGAAGCGGCTCGAATCCTGCTGCCGGGGCTGAAGACAGCCCATTCCCGGCCGCAGCCGAGGGGTCGTCAGAGTTTTCAGCCTGCGTCCGCCACCTCGACAGTCTTCCAGCTCTGCTCATGCCACAACGGTAAACTTTTCCTAGCACCCGCTGACGGCTTATGTGCCACCGACAACGAAAAACTCCTCTGCAGGTGAAAGGAGAACCCCTTCCCTCCGGTTCTCCAGTGGTCCAGCCCTGACTATACGTTTGCGATATACGTGATTACGAATTTTCAATCTTGTCCTTTTTTTTATATGTTTGTGAATTCGACGATCCTCGTCCGGTATATTAACGTGTACGAAGCAAAAATCAGTTTTCTTTTCCGAAACTGGATTAAAGCACAACGCAATGTACATTTGCTATAAATATTTCAACAAACCCTCACCCAAGAGACTGACAGGTATAACCTGATACCAAAGTTTCGATTGATACGCCAAAACCGATCAATATTGTCCACCTCAGCGCGAGTCTATAAACTGCATAAAAAGACAATATAATAATGAAGATAATCAGATTGGTATAATACAAATGACTATAGATTTTTATATCCTAGACAAGGACAAGATTTAAAAATGTCTTTATTTGTTTAACCAAAGAGGAAAGTGGGAAGCAGCTGAATCAGACCAAAAAGAGTTAGACCCTGAAATAATTATGCATTTTTGAATGTGAGATTTTAGTTCACTTATGAAAAATAGCTGCATTTAGGAATATATTGTATACAGTTAATGGAAATTTTGTGCCATACGAAGCTTCAACGCCCGTGCACATTACCAGCAAACCATTGGCCTAAACTCGTTCTAGAACGGGTTCTTAGTAGAGCAATGACTATTATTTTCTTATTGATCCAAGTCTACTCGATATATACGAAAGACTACAGTTCTTTCCTCTGCTAATTTCAATTTATTTATTATGGATGGAATCGAGCAAAAAAAAATTATAGGTTATTTAAGGTTTGTAATTCTATTATTGTTCGAAAACAAGAAGGTAGAAGAATATGTCATATCGTATCAGTTGCAAATAAATAATAATTGTAAATTGCCAAAAAAAGTTGTAAATAAATACTGAAATATTTGTATTTGATAACGCTAGTTGGCAAGTAAACGAAATATGTAAATAGAAGCGTTAGAATAAAGTGTACAGAAACTGTATAATATGTTATTGCAAATATTAAGCTGGGCTTATTCTTTGTTTTCAAAACCTAATGTCAAGAGAATCGCCAGGTATCATAAAATCAGAAATCTTATGAAAGTCTACATTTCGATAAACTACTTTTTATTACTGCTATAACACGACCATGTCAAAAAGTTAGGATCTTACCTGGTGTTTCGCAGTAAAACGTAGCTCATTAAACAGAAAACCCCCTTCGTTTAGCTGCGCAGTGTAAGCCAAGCTTAAAATTGTGTTAATTCATTAAAATTCTATTGACAGTGTTATGAAATGTGAAAATTAAAAAAATTTGTAAATAGTTTTGCCTACATTATTTCCACGGATAGATTTCAAGTTTAATTTTTACAAATTTACTGTAAATAACCATAAACCTGTTTGTTCAAAAAATGGTGATCAATTAAAAAAAATAAAAATGTATAGTTTTTTTTTTTTCAACCAAAGTCACTCGTAAAAATATTAACACGTGTTGCTGTTCCTGCATTCTTTTTCTCGTTCAGCGTTTAATTGGCCATAATTCGCTTTGCATTTTGCGCTGTCAATCCTCAGTAATTCCATTGCACCGCTCTGTGAATATCCTTTGCCTGACTGGACTCTGACGAGGTGTTTACAGTCGTTTGCATAAATGATAGATGAAAAATTCGAGTACTTCAGTGAAAAGATGAAAAAAGGCATGGAACTGGTAAGGACTGATTTGAATCAGAATTTTCTATGTTTAAAATAAGAAAACAATTCTATTCCCTCATTGAAGAAAGAAAACAAAGAGAATAGGCGGAGCTTGGCGTGTTGGATATGGAACTAAGAAAAGACAACACCATTGCCCGGGGCCTAGAAGTCAAAAAAAGGAGACTTCCTTATCCAAGTGGCCCTGACCTTTTTCAGTAGCGTTCTCCAGATTTCCGAATCTATATATACGAAGCTCCTGGGAAAAACGATACTGCACGCCGGCCTATCTTGGTTTCTTTAACCTATCTCGCGGGCAAGAGTAAAATAATACAGAACTCATCTATTTTTCGTGGGACGAGATCTAGAATTTTTCAAAATGTTCTCGCATCGATCAGGCAAAAAGGTTTAACCTTCTGCGTTTTCGAGACGAAACACGAAGACATATTTTGACGCTCTGACAAATTCATCTTCCAAAACAAATGGTACCTCGGTTATGAGACTTGTGGACTCTGCTCGCAAGATCCTGGGGGACCTGTTGATAATATCAGCGGGGTGGAACTTTCTTAGCTTAATTACTCCGCTCATGTGAGAAGGCTTCACCTGGCTCGCGCGTTGCTGGTGGTCCGTCTTTCCCCTGTCACAACTGTATAGAAAAAGAAAGTATGTGGGAGATTTCATTTAAACTTTATCTTTTATAATATTGTAGGAATAAAAAAAACATAGTTGTTCTTTCTTTTATGTTGTCATCCCTTTTCATGTATTCACTTTAATAGAGTCATATGTAATGAACCAGGGTTACTATTTATTTTCAGAATTTTTACGTAAGCATGATTTACGTTGTAAAAAAAACAACTCTTTTAGAGAGCTAGTGAGGAGCTAGGGAGGTATTGAGATAAAAAGTCATTATTTTCAACGTTTGTTCAAATTGACGGCTTTGTATTAATCACAATTCCCACTCCCAAAATTATTTTTTATCTATTGCCTAAATTTAAATTGCAACAATTCGGAGCAAGATTTTTGTAACCGTAGTAATTTTTTGTCCAAACATGGGATCTAGATGTAACAATTTTAATGTAAAAATATCACATTTGGAAGAGATCGAACTCGAGCGCATTAGAACTTTTAGCTTGTCTAGCCGCTCCAGAGATCTAATTGTCAACTCACGTGGTAAAAAATTACTAAAATTATGTGCAGGCTTGATGATTCTCAATGGACGCTATTGGTGATTCAGAAGGGCAATTTTACATACAGACTACATATAGCTAGACCTGAAGCTTCCGTCTGTGATCTGGTAATGGTATCAGTTCAATTAAGCCCCTCCAGGAGGATTTTCGGATTTAGGGAGACAATATCACAAGCCTGTAGTTTTCCATGTTTTGTGACAATATCACAAACTTTGAAAGCCCCATTCCGTTCAAAAGGTTTGAAGATAAGCACGTTAACACTTATAAAATCATTTTTTCAATTAATTAATCTTTATGTAAGGTACTGGTTGAGATAAAAAAGTCAGCGTCAAGAGCAGGATTCGAACCCACGACTATTGAATAGATTACACACAAAAATGGCAAAAAGGAGGGAAAATTGGAAACGTTGGTTGAGGTGGGAAGTTGCGTCCGAGTGGATCGAGGTCACCATAGCTCAAGTGGTAGAGCAGCGGCGTATTTAGCCGAAGGTCATGGGTTCGAATCCCGCTCGTGACGCTGAATTTTTTATATATACCAATACCTTACATAAAGATTAATTAATTGAAAAAAATTTATTTGGTCAATCGGACCACGAGCTCTAATGGACATTTAAAACAATTTAGCCGAGCTCCTTGTATCTTTTAACGCTGATTCTGTTCCAACAGCTTGCTGATGAATACGGTTTATATTTCGAGAAAGTTATAAAAGCTTCCGGCCCTATTCGCCCAAATTGCTTATGTACTGAATGTTTAGCCAACTGTCGCAGTCAAAACCCAATTTCTTACTCATCACTGGGGCATTGACCAGTGTCTAACTTTAAACTAAACTGATTCGTGACCACCTGATCAGTGTGACTCAACTTCACTTATCTCCTCACTCGTGTCAACCACGGACTAGTTGAAGTGTAGTAGCATCGGCCTTTGGGAGCATCGACTATTTGAAAACCTCCCTACAGGGGTCTACGTGGGGTTTTTCCCCCGTGCCAGTTACTACCCAAAGAAGCACGTTGTCTTCACTATTTTGCATTTCTTGAGATTTACTTTGGAGGGGATTCTCGAGCGTCCAAGGAATACACGAAAAGTGTTACTTCGACTTTTACATATCTTCATTTTAATTGTTATATACAGTTAATACAATAATCTGTATGCATTTAATTATTAATTAGTTGAACAGCAAATTAGCTAAACAAGAAAATAGTTTTCTCCAGACAAATATTAAAAACAAATTCTAGAAACTTAGATTATTCGAATATATTATCAAACTTAATAATTAGAAAACATAAATATAAATAATTAATTATTCACATGATTATATCCGATTTTAATAAATATGCAATTTTGATCTGAAAGTTGAAAATAGTAAAAGAATTTAACGAATAAAATTCCACGATTTGAACAAATGCTGTTACGTGGTGCTGAGTTCGCCCTGTGAGAATGGAGACTGGCAGAAAAGGAATACTGCTTTCGCCTTGTGGTAAGCATTTTCTCCCTTTGAATGATATATTTCGCCACACTATTCGTTTCGTTGTTTGATCCCTTTTATTGGTGATTTTATATTGAAAAAATGTTTCTCCTTCACTATAAAACAGAAAAAGAGCGGTATTTATTGTCCACTTATGTTTAAAACGAGAAGCCTGTGAAACAACGATACCAGGCGGTTCAGAGATAATTAATTTGGCCTATAATTTGTCGTACAATTTATCAACAAATTTCTTTTACATCCACGAAGATCTTTTTTTATTTTTCGTCTTTTCTCAAAGCAAGAAATAAATTGGAATAATGCAATTCTAAATAACCAAGCCATTTTATTTCATTCTACTTTATAGCTTAACGCTGTACTTCAAAAACAGTGCGAGGGGAAGAACGGAAATTCAATATGTATTGGACCAGTTTTTGCCATTATTACTTCAAGAAAATTTTTACACACGATATAATAAAATAAATTGAAATTTGAAAGTTACGTCTGTCTTATGAAACCAAGCTGATAGTATTAAACATTTAATTTTTTTTATTAAAAGACACGTTAGAAATTTCAAAGTGGTGGGTACATCAATTCCACAAATGCAAAACTTTTAAGCGTTAAGTATATAACATAATAATTATTATTGTAGTAATGCATTATATTAATCTATTACAATGATTAATATATAATAAAGGGTGAGTTTAATTTCTAGCCATTCCTACTTTTTTTTAAATTATTCTTATTATTTTTTAAATGTTCTGAATGTTCAAAAATAGATTTTGCAAATAACTTAAAAACTGTTGCTCCAAATGTTCGCTTTACAAAGTAACGAGGTGTGCTTAATGTTATTTACTTCAACCGTCACACCCAATTTTGTGCATAGCCTCATCTTCATCACCACTTTCTTCGTCAAATTTTGCTGTTGGGACCAAAATTTGCACTCTGCTGTGTCGCTCTTGGCTCGATTATTGGCAAGTTTTAATAATCCTCTAAAAACTAAAACAGGCTCTCTTCATTTCTAGACTTGAGAGATTTCTTTAAAAATCTCACTCAAACAATACGCAAAATTTCAGCCAATACAGGAGTGTCCCAAAATTCTATGGTAAGGACTATCAAAGGACTTTAATCCATGCAAAATAAAATTGGTCCAGGAATTGAGTAAAGAGAATGCTGACTATACACTTTTCTTTCTTAAAATTTACCACGAGCAATTAATTTACTTTTAATTTAAATAATAAATAAATTGGTGAAAAAATTGTCAAAAAAACATTTTTATCGCTTTTAAATATATAAAAATAAAAACTGGAAATGTGTCGAATTGTGATTGTTTGTTTTTATTTATCTTTCCACAATTTTGTGAATTGAAAAGCAAAAAAAGGACTGTTTAACTACAATCCAAATCACCTAAAACTGTAAAGATGAATAAATATATATTTAAAGTTAATACAAAATGAAAATAATAAATACTCAATAATATAGTAAAAATGTATGGTGATTAGTGACCGTTAGTTGAAGATTATTCGGAAATCGAGAGATGCGGTCAGGTGTAACGTATGTTTCAGAAAAACATTTTCTTTATCGTGCCAATATTTCGATCTTTATTGAGATCATCTTCAGGGCCTGGGATTTACAAGCATTGCTTAAATTTAACAAATACGATGTGGAAAAAAGTGAATTTATACAATGCAAAAAACAATTTTTTTATATTCTATAAAAAAATTAAATCCCCATAATCCCAGGCTCTGAAGATGATCTCAATAAAGATCGAACGTGGCACGATAAAGAAAATGTTTTTCTAAAACCTGCATCACACCAGACCGCCTCTCACGATTTCCGAATAATCATTGAATAAAGTAAAATACCAAAAAAAATAAACAACAAATATAAAATGAGTAAATATGAAATTACAACATAAAATATTTGGAATAAAATATGTAAAAGAAATTAATAAATATTACAAATGTAAGGTGTACACATCTTAAATCAATTTAATTTCTATCTATACTGTTTTTATAAATATTCAAAATCATTTTATATTTTGTTCATTTTTGTGAGTCAGTTTTTATGTTAAAAC